TGAGAATGTGGATTAGACATGGAGCAAAATCCCACTGGCACAAAGCCACTGATAATGAAAGCAAACCACAGTATAGAGAGATTTATTAGATAAAAACATATGTTTAAGAATATGGCTCAATAAAAGCAAATATGCAAACATATTTGTAAATAGATTAGAATAGTTTAAACTATAGTGAATAGTTTTAGTGCATACATTACAGACGAGGATGATGAAGTGTAGAGTATTATCTATTGCAAGATATATCTGATTTTTTTTTTTGTTTTCAACATTTTAGATTTCATACATTGTTGTAGTTTTATAGCGTGAACCTTGACCCATTGTACATTTTTGGATTTAAGGGCATTATAAACACTTTTGGTGTTGTCGACATTAAAAAAAATATTCACTTTCCCCTCTTGCAGATATATATTACCTAACAACGCTGTTCTACTTCCACAGCGCAAAGACACACGGAGAACATTGGTATTGGTCTTTGAAAAAAGTGGAGTCGAACCCTGTCTCTCTGTATGCTCAGCTCCACTTTCTACTTATGAAACTCTGAAATTACAGCCACATATAACTCACCAATCTTTTATTCAACTGCAAAAGGGCCTAGTGAATCTATTCTTTCTATTGGCCTTTCTCTGGGCTGATTAAAGAGAGGTGATGCATGGCATTATCACAGGAACTCTCTAATTGAATTATACAGAGCGCCAGCCTGAACTCATACGCCAATTCATAGAGCCCTCAAGTTACCCAGCAGCTGCTTTCCTCATATGCATGTGAGAGCTATTTCTTGTCCTATATCTCTCCTCTCTGCTGTGTTCTTTCATTTTAAACCTGCATAGTCTCCCTCAGTATTACACACTGATTCAGTCAGAGGCTATTTTTTTATTCCAAGGTTGATTCTATGTATCCCAAATCCTGAACAAGCAACAACATGGTGAATTAGCTCCCTGAAAGTGAATGACATGTTTACAGTGTAACTCACACTCAGTAAAAGTAAACATGTGGAGGAGTAACAGCAGTTTCTTGTCAGTGGAGACTGTTGCACTCAGAACACAAGCACTTTTTAAACACGAAATATGATCAGATAATGTGATGAAGAGTTAAAAAAATACTGATCTGATGTTAAAGGTAATGCATAAGGACCCAAAACAGAGAAACAGGAAGGATGATTATTTGATTAGTTCTGGTGCTGGCTTTGGCTTGGCCCTTTTTGAGAGCAGTTCTCTGGAGGAGCAGGCAATCTGGCAAGATACAAAAAACTCAGATTAAGTCAGTAAATGAATGTTCACTACGTAGATTACATGAGGTTAACGTTCTTTAGCACTGAATAAATGATACGACTCTGGCAGCGTGTACAGGGACAGCAAAGTTAGAAGTATGGAGCATTGATGGGATAATGGCATCAGGTGGGCTCTACTCAGGGACCACTCCCACCAGCACCAAGTCTGCAGGACACCAGAGCAAAACAAGCCCATAATGGGTAAACATATCATCCGCAGTGTTATTATTATTAGGATATTATTGTTTTTTGGTTCATAATGAGCATCAATCATACAATACTGCTCCTCCTACTGTACATCAGTCATAATAAGATAGAAATATTCAGTTTTTCCTGATTAATATTGCATACAAAGTTATAGAAGACAGGCACTTCTTATACACTCTCGCCCCGCGGTGTATCTCCAAGCCCCCTGGGAAAACTTGAAATCAGACCAAATTGTATGTTTTTCCCTTTTGGCAAAACCTTTAGGATGTGCCATATCATCCACATATCAAATAATCAAAAATTAAATCTGGCCAATGATGTATGTAAAAAAACAGTGCGAGGATGTGGCTGTGGAAAGAAGAGTTGTGAATTAAACTTGAATTGTTCTAAAAACTATTTGACTGTGTAATTGGCACACGTTGGCGACAGTAGCTCAGTTGGTAGAGCCATTGGCCTTTGGGCCTGAAGGTCGTGGTTCGAGCCACCGTAAGGACTTACTTCACGACTCCCACTGAACCCAAATTTGCCTGTTATGTTTCCGCTGTAAATGCCAGATATAGGCATTGCCTCTGATTCGGCCCAATTGATTTTATATCCTGAAACTCTAGAGTAAGATTTAATTGTATCCATTAGTTGAGGGATCGAGTGATCTGGGTCTTTCAATAGAACCAAATATTATCTGCATAGAGCAGCAGCTTATGTTGTTTACCACCTCCTTCTATTCCCTTTATATCCAAATCCCCTCTTACGGCGACTGCCAGTGGCTCCAGTGAAATGTTGAACAACAAAGGGGAAAGTGGGCACCCTTGCCTTGTAGCTCGCTTTAAGGTAAAGGAAGGTGATATTAATGCCATTAGTGATGACAGAAGCCTTTGGACTTTTATATAACATTTTGATCCATGTGATGAAGGATGTTGAAAATCCAAAGTTTTGCAGAGCAGCAAATAAAAAGTCCCAGTGGACACGATCAAAGGCCTTCTCTGCGTCAAGGGAGAGGGCAACTATAGGACTATTCTTTTCACAGTTGAGACTTATTAAATGCAATAGTCGTCTCATGTTATCTGTTGAGGATCTATTTTTCATAAACTGTACTTGGTCTGTTTGTATAATATTTGCTAAAACCTTTTCCCATCAAGTTGCTAATATTTTGGTCAGGATCTTAAAGTCTACGTTTGGTAGGCTAATAGGTCCTTAATTAGAGGGATGTAACGGGTCGCTTTTTTTGGTATTACTGTAATCAAAGCCTCATCAAAAGTTGGGGGCAGACATTGTTGTGCAAAAGCCTCATTTTGCAATCCATCTAGGCCTGGTGACTTTCCATTCTTCATGCCTGCTATTGATTTACGAATTTCAAGGTCTGTCACTGGACCATCTAAGAGTTCAGCTTGCTCAGGTGACAATTTTGGTAGATCTACATGAGCGAAGAAATTGATCTGTTCTTCGTAATCAGGAGTAGAATCTGGAGTATATAATGCTTGATAATAATTTAATAACACCTGATTAATTTCTTTAGAGTCTGTGACAATTGTATCACCCTTTTTACTAGCAGGAATCACGTTTCCAGAATCCCTCTTTTTCAGTTGTTTAGCCAACAATCTCCCTGATTTTTCCCCCTCTTCATAAAAGTGGGCGCCGTATGTCGCATGGCGCCGTAAAGATGGCGCCGTGGCAAGAGCTCTGGTGTGTGTCGTCTGGTGCACACTGGGGTAGTCTTGCACAGTTTTTCCAATGTAGTTTTACTGCAAATGGCAAAGAAATTAATCTGAATCTAAAAGGACGTCCCTAATCTAAATAAGGCATATTGCACTTTATTATTATATATTTCCTGAAGTTCAAATTTGAGTTTGCAAATCTCTTGATATTTGTTATTTGAAAAAGGCTAGTTCTCTTGTGCTGTAATCATACTCTCTAGTTCCTTTCTCCTTCCTAGATCATCCTTCTTTTTCTTACAGGTGTATGCTATAATTTTAACCCTGATAAATGCTTTTGAGGCTTCCTATTCAATTGCCTTTTTAGAGGTACTACCCATATTCATTTCAAAAAAGGATTTTAAATCTTCCTCCAAAGATGAGCAACATTTCTCATTAAACATCAGGGATGCAGTCTCCATCTACCTCGCTTTTCTGAATCATTGTTTATATATATTCCTAAATCTACAGGGGCGTGGTCAGAGTAATAGCATTCATTTTACAATCCAATACTTTGGTTATATTTTTTGATATCAAGAAAATATCTATTCTCGAGTAAGATTTATGACAATGAGAGAAGAAAGTATATTCTCTTTCTGAGGGATTTGTTAATCGCCAGATATCTACCAAATGATTGTCTTCACTTAGCATATGAATACTGCTCTGTCTTTGGGGATTGATAGTCCACTAATGTTGCTTCCATCTATAAATGCATCCCAGACTTGATTAAAATCTCCTGCTAAAATAAAATCCCCTTCCATTTCACCCACTGTTTTGTTTACCGCATGGAAAAAGTTCTGATCACCTTTAGTTGGTGCGTAAATGTTACACAAAATAATATGTCTACCATTAATTTGAGCTTGTAGACAGATCATCCTGCCCTCTTTATCTTTTGCTTGTTTAACTAGAGTAAATGATATGTTTTTATGCACAAGTATAACCACCCCATTACGTTTACTTGAAAAAGAACTATGACAAACACCCATCCAAACTTTAATTTCAAGGCTTCTCTCCCTAAAATGTGACTCTTGAATAAACACAATATCTGCCTTTTTGTGTTTAAGGCATGCCATTATTCTTAACTCCTCTTTTTGGAGGAGTTCCACAACCTTTAATATTCCAACTTAAAAACTTAACATAATTCTGAGCCATTTGGAATCAGACAGAATATAAGACAAAAATGAAATAGCCCCCAGACCATGTAATATTTCTCTCTCGTGTATCGGACCATATTTAAAAACCAAGTATTTGTAAGCATGTGAATGCCAAAAGGACAGTGAAAATACAAACTTAAATTGTCCCCCTGAAGCTAGAACAGGGAGTCCTGGCCACCTGGCCGGATAAAATAACATAACAAATAAAAGCCGCATGCGGCGTCGAACGGCCCTCGCCTCACCGTGCACACCACGCTGCAGCACGCCGCTCCACACCACGCCGCTCCACACCACGCTGCAGCACGCCGCTCCACACCACGCTGCAGCACGCCGCTCCACACCACGCTGCAACACGCCGCTCCACACCACGCTGCAGCACGCCGCCCCACACCACGCTGCAGCACGCCGCCCACACCGCGCAGCACGCGCTCCACACCACTGCCCGCCACACACACCGCTCCCAGCACACGCCGCCCCACACCACGCCGCTCCACACCACGCTGCAACGCACGCGGCACCCGCACGCCACACGCCGCCCCACACACGCCGCCCCCACCACGCTGCAGCACGCCGCTCCACACCACGCTGCAGCACGCCGCCCCACACCACGCTGCAGCACGCCGCTCCACACCACGCTGCAGCACGCCGCTCCACACCACGCTGCAGCACGCCGCCCCACACCACGCTGCAGCACGCCGCTCCACACCACGCTGCAGCACGCCGCTCCACACCACGCTGCAGCACGCCGCCCCACACCACGCTGCAGCACGCCGCCCCACACCACGCGCCGCTCCACACCACGCTCGCTCCACACCACGCTGCTCCACACCACGCTGCACACGCGCTCCACACCACGCTGCAGCACGCCGCCCACACCACGCTGCCACACACGCACGCGCTCCACACCACGCTGCAGCACGCCGCTCCACACCACCACGCTGCACACGCCGCCCACACCACGCTGCAGCACGCCGCCCCACACCACGCTGCAGCACGCCGCCCCACACCACGCTGCAGCACGCCGCCCACACCACGCTGCAGCACGCCGCCCCCACACCACGCTGCCCCACCACGCACACCCGCCGCCCCACACCACGCTGCAGCACGCCGCCCCACCACGCACGCTGCACACGCCGCTCCACACCACGCTGCAGCACGCCGCTCCACACCACGCTGCACGCCGCCCCCCCACTGCACGCCGCCCACACCACGCTGCAGCACGCCGCCCACACCACGCTGCACACGCCGCTCCACACCACGCTGCACACGCACGCTCACACACCCACACGCCGCCACACCACCACGCTGCACACACGCCGCTCCACACCACGCTGCAGCACGCCGCCCCACCACGCTGCAGCACGCCGCCACACACCGCCCGCCCACACCACGCTGCAGCACGCCGCTCCACACCACGCTGCAGCACGCCGCCCCCACACCACGCCGCCCACACCACGCTGCAGCACGCCGCCCCACACCACGCTGCACACACGCGCTCCACACCACGCTGCAGCACGCCGCCCCACACCACGCCGCCCCACACCACGCTGCAGCACGCCGCCCACACCACGCTGCAGCACGCCGCCCACACCACGCTGCAGCACGCCGCTCCACACCAGCGCTGCACACACGCCGCTCCACACACCACGCGCGCTCCACACCACGCCACGCCCCACACCACGCTGCAGCACGCCGCCCACACCACGCTGCAGCACGCCGCCCACACACCACGCCGCTCCACACACCACACACGCGCTCCACACCACGCTGCACACCACGCTGCCCACACCACGCTGCAGCACGCGCTCCACACCACGCTGCAGCACGCCGCCCCACACCACGCCGCCCCACACCACGCTGCTCCACACCACGCTGCAGCACGCCGCCCCACACCACGCCGCCCCACACACGCGCCCACACCACGCTGCCACGCGCCCACACCACGCTGCAGCACGCCGCTCCACACCACGCTGCAGCACGCCGCCCCACACCACGCCGCTCCACACCACGCTGCAGCACGCCGCTCCACACACGCGCCCACACACCACGCGCCCACACCACGCTGCTCCACACCACGCTGCAGCACGCCGCCCACACACCACGCCCCACACCACGCCGCCCACACCACGCTGCAGCACGCCGCTCCACACCACGCTGCAGCACGCCGCTCCACACCACGCTGCAGCACGCCGCCCACACCACGCCGCTCCACACCACGCCGCCGCTCCACCGCTCACCACGCCGCTCACACACGCTGCTCCACACCACGCTGCAGCACGCCGCTCCACACCACGCTGCAGCACGCCGCCCCCCACCCACGCCGCTCCACACCACGCTGCAGCACGCTGCTCCACACCACGCTGCAACACGCCGCTCCACACCACGCTGCAGCACGCGCCCACACCACGCCACACGCTGCTCCACACCACGCTGCAGCACGCGCTCCACACCACGCTGCAACACGCTGCTCCACACCACGCTGCAGCACGCCTGCTCCACACCACGCTGCAGCACGCTGCCCCACACCACGCCGCTCCACACCACGCTGCAGCACGCTGCTCCACACCACGCTGCAGCACGCTGCTCCACACCACGCTGCAGCACGCGCCCCACACCACGCTGCAGCACGCCGCACCACACCACGCTGCCGCCCACACGCTGCCGCACGCGCCACACCACGCTGCAGCACGCCGCCCACACACGCTGCAGCACGCCGCCCACACCACCGCCCCACACCACGCTGCAGCACGCCGCTCCACACCACGCTGCACACGCCGCTCCACACCACGCTGCAGCACGCCGCTCCACACCACGCTGCAGCACGCCGCCCACACCACGCTGCGCCGCCACACCACGCCGCTCCACACCACGCTGCAGCACGCCGCCCCACACCACGCTCCACACACGCCTGCTCCACACCACGCTGCAGCACGCCGCTCCACACCACGCTGCACACGCCGCCCCACACACACGCCGCTCCACACCACGCTGCAACACGCCGCCCACACCACGCTGCACACACGCCGCTCCACACCACGCTGCAGCACGCCGCTCCACCACCACGCTGCACACGCCGCTCCACACCACGCTGCACACGCCGCCCCACACACCACGCCGCTCCACACCACGCTGCAGCACGCCCCCACACCACGCTGCACACACGCCGCTCCACACCACGCTGCAGCACGCCGCCCACACCACGCTGCAACACGCCGCCCCACACCACGCTGCAGCACGCCGCCCCACACCACGCTGCAGCACGCCGCCCCACCACCCACGCGCACACGCCGCCCACACCTGCAGCACGCCGCCCACACCCCGCCACGCCTCCACACCACGCTGCCACGCCTGCCCACACCACGCCGCCCCACACCACGCTGCAGCAGCAACACGCCGCCCCACACCACGCTGCTCCACACCACCCACACCACGCTGCCCACACACGCCGCCCCCACACGCACGCACGCCGCTCCACACCACGCTGCAGCACGCCGCTCCACACCACGCTGCAGCACGCCGCCCACACCACGCTGCACACCACGCCGCTCCACACCACGCTGCAGCACGCACGCGCCCACACCACGCTGCAGCACGCTGCTCCACACCACGCTGCAGCACGCCGCCCCACACGCCGCTGCTCCACACCACGCTGCAACACGCCGCTCCACACCACGCTGCAACACGCCGCTCCACACCACGCTGCAACACGCCGCCCCACACCACGCCGCTCCACACCACGCTGCAGCACGCCGCCCCACACCACGCCGCTCCACACCACGCTGCAGCACGCCGCTCCACACCACGCTGCAACACGCTGCTCCACACCACGCTGCAGCACGCCGCCCCACACCACGCTGCTCCACACCACGCTGCAACACGCCGCTCCACACCACGCTGCACACGCCGCTCCACACCACGCTGCAGCACGCCGCCCCACACCACGCCGCTCCACACCACGCTGCAGCACGCCGCTCCACACCACGCACGCTGCTCCACACCACGCTGCAGCACGCCGCCCCACACCACGCTGCTCCACACCACGCTGCTCCACACCACGCTGCAACACGCCGCTCCACACCACGCTGCAACACGCCGCCCCACACCACGCTGCAACACGCCGCTCCACACCACGCTGCAACACGCCGCTCCACACCACGCTGCAGCACGCCGCCCCACACCACGCCGCTCCACACCACGCTGCAACACGCCGCTCCACACCACGCTGCAGCACGCCGCCCCACACCACGCCGCTCCACACCACGCTGCAGCACGCCGCCCCACACCACGCCGCTCCACACCACGCTGCAACACGCCGCTCCACACCACGCTGCAGCACGCCGCCCCACACCACGCCGCTCCACACCACGCTGCAGCACGCCGCCCCACACCACGCTGCTCCACACCACGCTGCAACACGCCGCTCCACACCACGCTGCAACACGCCGCCCCACACCACGCTGCAGCACGCCGCCCCACACCACGCTGCAGCACGCTGCTCCACACCACGCTGCTCCACACCACGCTGCAGCACGCCGCCCCACACCACGCCGCTCCACACCACGCTGCAACACGCCGCTCCACACCACGCTGCAGCACGCCGCCCCACACCACGCCGCTCCACACCACGCTGCAACACGCTGCTCCACACCACGCTGCTCCACACCACGCTGCAACACGCCGCTCCACACCACGCTGCAGCACGCCGCTCCACACCACGCTGCAGCACGCCGCTCCACACCACGCCGCTCCACACCACGCTGCAACACGCTGCTCCACACCACGCTGCAGCACGCCGCCCCACACCACGCTGCTCCACACCACGCTGCAACACGCCGCTCCACACCACGCTGCAACACGCCGCTCCACACCACGCTGCAGCACGCCGCCCCACACCACGCCGCTCCACACCACGCTGCAACACGCTGCTCCACACCACGCCGCTCCACACCACGCTGCAGCACGCCGCCCCACACCACGCTGCAACACGCCGCTCCACACCACGCTGCAACACGCCGCTCCACACCACGCTGCAGCACGCTGCTCCACACCACGCTGCAGCACGCCGCTCCACACCACGCTGCAACACGCCGCCCCACACCACGCTGCAGCACGCCGCCCCACACCACGCTGCAGCACGCCGCCCCACACCACGCTGCAACACGCCGCTCCACACCACGCTGCAGCACGCCGCCCCACACCACGCTGCAGCACGCTGCTCCACACCACGCTGCAGCACGCCGCCCCACACCACGCTGCTCCACACCACGCTGCAACACGCCGCTCCACACCACGCTGCAACACGCCGCTCCACACCACGCTGCAACACGCCGCCCCACACCACGCCGCTCCACACCACGCTGCAGCACGCCGCCCCACACCACGCCGCTCCACACCACGCTGCAGCACGCCGCTCCACACCACGCTGCAACACGCTGCTCCACACCACGCTGCAGCACGCCGCCCCACACCACGCTGCTCCACACCACGCTGCAACACGCCGCTCCACACCACGCTGCAACACGCCGCTCCACACCACGCTGCAGCACGCCGCCCCACACCACGCCGCTCCACACCACGCTGCAGCACGCCGCTCCACACCACGCTGCAACACGCTGCTCCACACCACGCTGCAGCACGCCGCCCCACACCACGCTGCTCCACACCACGCTGCTCCACACCACGCTGCAACACGCCGCTCCACACCACGCTGCAACACGCCGCCCCACACCACGCTGCAACACGCCGCTCCACACCACGCTGCAACACGCCGCTCCACACCACGCTGCAGCACGCCGCCCCACACCACGCCGCTCCACACCACGCTGCAACACGCCGCTCCACACCACGCTGCAGCACGCCGCCCCACACCACGCCGCTCCACACCACGCTGCAGCACGCCGCCCCACACCACGCCGCTCCACACCACGCTGCAACACGCCGCTCCACACCACGCTGCAGCACGCCGCCCCACACCACGCCGCTCCACACCACGCTGCAGCACGCCGCCCCACACCACGCTGCTCCACACCACGCTGCAACACGCCGCTCCACACCACGCTGCAACACGCCGCCCCACACCACGCTGCAGCACGCTGCTCCACACCACGCTGCTCCACACCACGCTGCAGCACGCCGCCCCACACCACGCCGCTCCACACCACGCTGCAACACGCCGCTCCACACCACGCTGCAGCACGCCGCCCCACACCACGCCGCTCCACACCACGCTGCAACACGCTGCTCCACACCACGCTGCTCCACACCACGCTGCAACACGCCGCTCCACACCACGCTGCAGCACGCCGCTCCACACCACGCTGCAGCACGCCGCTCCACACCACGCCGCTCCACACCACGCTGCAACACGCTGCTCCACACCACGCTGCAGCACGCCGCCCCACACCACGCTGCTCCACACCACGCTGCAACACGCCGCTCCACACCACGCTGCAACACGCCGCTCCACACCACGCTGCAACACGCCGCTCCACACCACGCTGCAGCACGCCGCCCCACACCACGCCGCTCCACACCACGCTGCAGCACGCCGCCCCACACCACGCCGCTCCACACCACGCTGCAGCACGCCGCCCCACACCACGCTGCAACACGCCGCTCCACACCACGCTGCAGCACACGCCCCACACCACGCTGCAACACGCCGCTCCACACCACGCTGCAGCACGCCGCTCCACACCACGCTGCAACACGCCGCCCACACCACGCTGCAGCACGCCGCCCCACACCACGCTGCAGCACGCCGCCCCACCACCACGCTGCAGCACGCCGCCCCACACCACGCTGCTCCACACCACGCTGCAGCACGCCGCCCCACACCACGCTGCAGCACGCCGCCCCACACCACGCTGCTCCACACCACGCTGCTCCACACCACGCTGCAACACGCCGCCCCACACCACGCTGCAGCACGCCGCCCCACACCACGCTGCAGCACGCCGCTCCACACCACGCTGCAGCACGCTGCTCCACACCACGCTGCTCCACACCACGCTGCAGCACGCCGCTCCACACCACGCTGCAGCACGCCGCCCCACACCACACTGTACCACGCAGTATCGCGCAAAGGAGGTGCCGCCACCGTGTGATGATTTGTATGTGGAGCGATTTTGAGGCGAATCGGTGAAACGGCCGAGGAGGAGAAGATTTCCAACGGACATGTATGAAAATCATTGCTGTTCATCTTTCCATTTTGCAGTGAAATTCATTGGCTTCCTGTTTGTCAGAGGGCGGGGCCATAAGAACAAAAATGTCATGCATGTTCAGGGAATCAAATTAATCAGAATCAGAATCATTTTTATTGCCACGTAAGTAACAGGGGGTCACAGACTTGGAAATTGCTTTGGCTCAGTGCAACAGTCAGAAAGAGATAATAAAAATAAGAATAAAAAACACTTCTAAAGAATAAATTTAAATTTAAAATAGAGTTACAGTTACTATTTACAATATACAAGTGCACATGGTGCACACAATGTAAGGTGACAGCAGTACAGTGAAGTAAAGTGACGTATGATGGGCAGTAAAGTGACTTTATAAAGGGCGGGGGGACAGGTTAAGAAGTGTTCAAGAATCCAACAGCAGAGGGGAAGAAACTGTTCTTATGGCGGGAGGTTCTAGTCCTGATGGACCGCAGTCTCCTGCCTGAGGGGAGTGGTTGGAATAGTCCATGTGCAGGTGAGAGGGGTCGGCTGTGATACGACCAGCCCGGCCTCGAGCTCGGGCGACATACAGGTCCTGCAGCGATGGAAGTGTCAGGGATGAAGCAGACAGAGACGGACTGTGCTGCGCCAAACTCTGGAAGTTTATTTAAGTTTCTCTCAAGTTCCAGTGGTTTCCTTTGTTTCTTTCTCTCAGACAGAATGGAGTCAGTACACAGTTTATATAGTCATTGTTAAAGGCAGTACACAGTTTATATAGTCATTGTTAAAGGCAGTACACAGTTTATATAGTCATTGTTAAAGGCAGTACACAGTTTATATAGTCATTGTTAAAGGCAGTACACAGTTTATATAGTCATTGTTAAAGGCAGTACACAGTTTATATAGTCATTGTTAAAGGCAGTACACAGTTTATATAGTCATTGTTAAAGTCAGTACACAGTTTATAAAGTCAGTACACAGTTTATATAGTCATTGTCACGTCACACATGGAAAGACGTGTCACACAGAGACAGTCACATCAGAGTCAGAATAATCAGAGTCCTTGTAGAGTCCTGCACGTAGGCCATATTGCTATCTAATACTAACACTCACCCCTTTGATCACATAATCACATGTGATCACTCAATTTGATCAATCAATAAAGTGGAAAAAAAAAAACTTAAAAAAATTATTTAAAAGCAAAGAAAATGTATGCATTAAACTCATAATCATCAACATCAATATCAGTGGATTTTATCCTCTATCCTGGGAAAAAACAAAACAAAAAAAAGTAAATAAATAAACTAAAAACAAAAATAAACCAAAATAAAAACAAACCCATTGGACACAGTTGAACTCAGCAGCATCAGTTAAAACTCAGACAAAAACGAACTGAGTCTCAATTTAGAATCTTAACTTTTCTAATTTAATACTTTTATTCTAATACTAATTGTTTACACTTCACTTAATTCACTTTTTAATCTTACACTGTGTACTTTACTTTTATTATTCACTATAGTTTAAAACTATTCTAATCTATTTACAAATATGTTTGTATATTTTGCATTTTTATTGAGCCATATTCTTAAACATATATATATAATTAGGGCTGTCAAACGATTAGAATGTTTTAGTTGATTAATCGCACAGTAATGATGAGTTAACTCACGATTAATCACATTTTTAACATTCTATTTCAAATCCACTCCTATTGAAGTTTAATGAGATTTTCCAATTTAAAAAAAAAATATTATTCAGACCAAATGTTCTTAAATCTGTTTGACTTGCTCCAAACCTTCTACTTTTGGGCACAACCAACAAGAGCTGTTAATGAAAGGAACAATGTAGGTACCCCAGCTTTAATTTTGTGAGTTTGTTTGCATTTCAGCGTGTCTCCTCCTCTCCTCCATGTGTCACACAACATCAGAGAATGGCCCCTGTGCGTGTTTATATATATATATATGTATATATATGTGTGTATTATATGACCACGTTACCGCTGTCACCATCACACGCACGTGTTCGAGGCATTCTGAGTGATATTATTATAAATGGGCGGGTCATTCGGACCTGCGTTAATTATTTTTTAACGCGTTAATGAAAACGGTAATTAACGTTAATTCACGCGATAATTTTGACAGCCCTAATTTTAATCTAATAAATCTCTCTGTGGTTTACTTTCATTATCAGTGGATTATTGTCAGTGGGATTTTGTTCTAGGTCTACTCTACATTCTCAGGAATAAAACTGTGAACACAGAAAGACAAATGGTCAACATTTACACTTCTATAGTGGTCAGTGATTTATTACTTTTTATTATCTAAAGATATTATTGTCAGGCAGTTTGGGATGAATGTACTTCATTAATCAAATTAGTATTATCCTTACAAGAGCTAATCTATTTTAGCAGGTTTGGGGTCAGTTACTCCACAATGGTGTTTGATTCTCTAATCTGTGCTGACGAATCAACAGCTTTTAAACTTCTCAAAGATCAAAATATCTAAATATCTACTTTTGTGCTATACCCAAATACATTAAAATGCTTTTAAATTTTTTTGAATCTCTGTTGGTTCTAATCTATCTCATTAATCTATCTCATTAATCCATCTCATTAATCCATCTCATTAATCCATCTCATTAATCCATCTCATTAATCCATCTCATTAATCTATCTCATTAATCTATCTCATTAATCTATCTCATTAATCTATCTCATTAATCTATCTCATTAATCTATCTCATTAATCTAAGATACATTAGTCGAGGCTGCACTCATGAACTTTTTGCATTGTCAACATTCACAGATGTTTGAAACAAGTGAATTTGGCAAGTATCTAATAAAACTGTAATTAACTTGATTTACTTTTGAAGTAAATGTTTGTGAAATGGTCCTTTTACCGTTCAAATATTAGCACGGACTACAAATAATCTCTATTTTATGGTTGATGCTTTTATCTATTTCTATTTTTACTCTATCGTGACTCTAAAGCTCGGTTGCAGCTTGAGCAAAGGCATATTTCTAGTTTGTGACTTCTGCCACTTTTAATATCTCTAAAATTATTCTGATTCTAATATTTTAGCTGCTCTTTCAGAGATAACATTGTATAGTTATGATTTTAACTCTTATGTGGAAATGTGTTTATGAAAAACAAAGGAAGGAAAATTCTACTTTTTTACTACTATTTAACATCTAATAAAACGCTACAATACTCATACTTTATCATTTTAAAACATTTTAACAGTTGCTCAGTCTCCCAGACTAAAAAGTCAAAGTTTTTGTCTGTCAGATGTCTGAATACTTTACATGTGTTGCATTTGGTCACAGTTGTGGTTCTGGTTGTAGCCAGTGGGGGCGGTTCACGGCTCAAAAGAGGCCAAAATGACGTGCGCTGACATGCTGCAATACCACCCCGGGCCTGTGGGGGTGGACCCGGAAGAAGAATTAGCCAATGCTAATATATAGCATTGGCAGACCTCTCAAAAACGTCTTTACAGGATGGACCAAAGTTGTCTCTTGGCCCAAAGCTCCGTTCCACATGTGTGTCAATGCTGAGGGGGGTGGATTTTTTTGGTCCACTCTAATTTACTTGCTGTGAATCTTTGAAGTCTCTCGTTCAAATGAATGGAGCTGCGCCGGCTGACGCATGCACAGATGTGTTTTTTCACCATTTTCTTGTGGGCGGGACCACTCGCGGCCATTTTGGATTGCTCCAGTAGAGCACATTTTTTGGCCCATTATAGGCGTGACTCTGTCCGTTTATATATACAGTCTATGGTTGTAGCAATAGCATCGGCAATCAGGCCCGTCGCAAGGGGCGTGCGAGGCCCTGTGTGAACTTAAAACGCGAGGCCCTGACACCTTTTTCCCAGATCTCGGGGAAGTTTTCCCTGTTATAATCTTTGACATGAATTCAGCACCGCCTCGCGCTGTGTGTGAAGAGATCAGCACGCGCACAGCCGAGTGTCTTTGCTCCAATGCAGCGTTACACACACAGACACAGACACAGACACACACAGACACAGACACAGACACAGACACAGACACAGACACAGACACACACAGACACAGACACAGACACAGACACAGACACACACAGACACAGACACAGACACAGACACAGACACAGACACACACAGACACAGACACACACAGACACACACAGACACACACACACAGAGACACAGACACAGACACAGAGACACAGACACAGACACAGAGACACAGACACAGACACAGACACAGAGACACAGACACAGAGACACAGACACAGAGACAGACACAGAGACACAGACACAGAGACACAGACACAGAGACAGAGACACACACAGACACAGAGACACAGAGACACAGACACACACACAGAGACACAGACACACACACAGAGACACAGACACACACACAGAGACACAGACACACACACACAGACACACACAGAGTCACAGAGACACAGACACACACACACAGACACACACAGAGTCACAGAGACACAGACACACACACACAGACACACACAGAGTCACAGAGACACACACACACACAGAGACACACACACAGTCACAGAGTCACAGAGTCACAGAGTCACACACACACACACACACACACACACACACACACACACACACACACACACACACACAGTTTTGTAAAATAAACTTTTACAAGAACAAATCAGACCACAACATTCTGCGTTCATCATATACAAAAATCATGTTTGCATACTCGTTGGACAGAGCCCTGTGAGTCTATATCTGACCGTTTGGGCTGAGAGATAGTTCTTGGTTTCACTTTTCTGTCTGAAAAACCTGATCCAAATATGGAACATGTGAAAACTATGAACTCACTGTATTCAGAGTGAGGCGCTCATTATAGATTGTTTAAATAGATTGTACATGCAGTTACATATAAATAAAGATTACTTACTTACTTACATACTCACATTGTTTGAAGTAACAGTTGTAATCTGTCTGACCTAGCCTGGTTGTACCACACCATAGTACAAATTACATTTCGGACTAAGGTGGAGGAGGTGCTCACTTGAGCTCTGTTAACAGGTGGGAGGGGTTAACTCCTTTTACAGATGGAAACGATTGGATCTGAGTTTACCGTGACGTATTTAATGTAACCAAGTGAGTTGTTAGCATTTAGCATTTAGCCTAGCCATCTCCTTTGCTACTAACGGAGCCCGTGGGGCGTAGCGCCACAATCTTTGCCAGCAATGACTTTTGCTATATATTACTCTTGCTCCGGCTTCAATTTCTTGATAGCACCAGACCTGAATACTTTACTATCGCATTCTTCGCCATTGCCAAACTACAACCTGCCCTTTTAATCAACTCAATTTTGTCAGAGCCGCCTCCTGTCTCTGGGCAGCCAGCAGGAGCAAGGTCACGCGTGTTAGTCAAACTAAAAAGTCACCGCTTGCAATAGAATAGAAAGAATAGATCTTTATTGTCTGTTCAAATTGAGCAGAGATATTGTCTTTTTAACACGGCCGATTCATGTCATTCATAAAAACACACATTAATTACCATTAAATCACATCAAGAAAATACATTCATATTTTTTTACAGTGCTACGGTTGTTTAGAGCATTGACTGCATGAGGGACAAATGATCTCCTTGTAGATGTTTTTTCGGGCCAGCGGGGTTCTGTATCTCATTCCTGATGGCAGCAGAGAGAAGGAGCCAAAAAGCGGGTGTGAGGCATCCTCAGTGTATGAGAGTGCCTTCCTCAGCACTGATTGGCTGTACCAGCTCACAGAGCAGAGTTTGTGGTGTTTGGGTGATTTTGCTGGGCTGCTTTAATACACTTTTGAGTTTTGGCTGTGTTTGAGAGTGCGAAAATTGAACCAGGTGGAGATATTGTTACTGTGAGAATGGATTCAATGAGTGTGGTATACACAGTTGATAAAATGCCTTTGCTAACATTAAAAGAAGATCTGTTTCCTGATGAGATGGAGGCGTTGCTGTGGACTTTTTTAAAAACAGAGTCTGCATGTGCCAAGGGACCTAGCGTGCGATCGCTGTCTATTTTGCCCAAGGTATTTAAAACTGTTCCAACCTGCTCCACCTGCTGGCGTGATGACTAGGGTGGAAAATAAGATGTGAATTGGTTAGAGTTTTAAAACTCAATAATATATTACTTTTACAGTAATCCTAATTGCTCTTTCTTTTAGGACGAAGTCTAGATCAAATAATCACTTTTAATATAGATTCTAATTTAAATGTTTGATAAACGGGATTTTTGTAACTAAAAATGGAAATACAATGAAAAAATTCTCACGAACTGTTATGAAATATATCAGAGATACAATAATGGACTCAAAATAAATAATGCAGCAG